TAATTAACAGTTATTGAGACCTAACCCTGTGACAGACATTATTCTGAGGTTTCACAAGTATAAACTCATTTCTTCCTTGCAATAACCTCCACCCCCTGACCTCACACTTCTCTCCCCATTATTGGATGTGATCCATCTAGACAACAATCAGAAAGTAACAAAAGTGCAAGTGGGTCAGAAGGGAAGATACAAAACTGAAGAAACAGACCATGGCCTTTAACATTTCTAAAGAAAAATGTTATCTCTGTTAAGCACAGCTGCCATATCTCCATGAAGCCAGGTTGAGAAAATGTTTATGTTGACACATTGAAGGTCAAATATTCCAGGGTAATTAGATTTCTCCAAGGTGAATTATGGAGACATTCTAGTTAGAAGCAGATACAGAACTTTTGCTGTCCAGCCATAAAGCAGCACTGACTTGACAAATACACGTAGGCACATTTCTAAGCATTTTTGCTTGTAGCTTAATCAATTGTTTTACATATTTTCTGTTACTAATCTTTTACAAATTTCATTAGGATCATAAAAATTTACTAACTTACCCATCCAGAATTCAGTATCATTTCGAGTAGCTTTTTATTACCCTATATTTTCATCTCCATAAATACAAGAAAAAATGCAATTTCAACTTCTTTGAAGTCACCCTCTGCCTGCTTTCAATCACGTTAACCTTCTCAAAGTTGAAGACCATCACTTGCCCAGATATTTTCATCAACTCATTCAGCATACATTTATTGAGTTGCAATTACAGTGCTAAGCCCAAAGAAGCATAATCCACAGTCCCTCAATCAGAGAATTCAGCGTCTAATAGTAAAGGAGAAACAAATACATTGAAATAGCTTCCTGTAAGAACCTCAATGTCCATAAAAAGAGAATTAGATAAAGGAGACATTTATTCCCATGAAATTGAATACTACAATTTAAATGAATAAATTAGATTTAAATGCATCAATATGGCTACTTTTTAAAATATATTGAGTGAAAAAAGCAAATTTTCAAAAGATGTATGCAATAATTGCACTATGTTCTCTACAACAACAAAAAAGATTATAATATGACATTACGTATTGCTTACAAATATACAATGTGTAACAAAAATTAAAACCACAGATTGAGAGGTTAGGTACCAAAATCAGATTAGTGGTTACTTCTGGAGAGAAAGAAGATGAATGGGATTGGAAAATGTGTAATGTGAAATTCAACTTGATTGGTAAGGTGCTATTTCTTTATTTAAAGAAAAATATTTGAAGCCAGGAATTTTAAATGGTAAATTTTGTTAATCTGGGGTGGTAGGATATATGGCATTTTTCTATATTTTAATGGTTTTTCCCCCTAATGTCTTCCAAATGTATAAATGAGAGAGAGGAGAGTGAGGACAGGTGTCGCACTGAAAACACCATTCACAATAAATGGGAAGTGCCAAAGCTACAGAGAATGTACCAGAGATAAAAGCAGATGTCCAGAGCAGCAGTAGGAAGAGCTGTGAGGTTAAAATGGGGAGGAACCAGTGGATGGGAGCGTTCCTAGAAACCTTCCTAAAAATGCAGATGAAGTCAGGCGTGAAGAATGACCAAAAGTCCTACACGCTGAGATGAGCAAGAAGGATATTCCGAGCAGGAATGGCAGAAGGAAGGACAAATCTGCAGAAAAGAGTATGGAGCATTCAGCAGAGACAGAGCCTCGGGAGACAGTTTCAAGTTTGAAACTTAACTCTGCTACTTATTAGCTTAGTGACCTTGGGAAAGTCACTTAAACTCTCCAAAACTGATTCTTCAGCTTGGACATGGGATAATAATATCTTCCTGGTTGCATGATTGCACAGGCCAGAGAAAATATATTCCAAGATGCCTGACATATAGTGATACAGTAATGCACACAAATGAAGATTATGATTAATGGTTATTAAATGGGACTAAGACTCAGGTCTCCTGATTCCTGAGTCAGTGATCTTTTCATAACACTGCATTGCTGATTTTGTAAATTAGCATTATCTTATATTCATGTGGCCAAACTTTCACAGTAATAAAGCAAGTGACCTCGATGGAGTCCTGGACAACTCACTGAATCTTAATTATAAAATATGCCTCTTTAAAACAGTATGGAAGTTCCTCAAAAAATTAAAAATAGAACTACCATATGATCCAGGAATTCCACTTCTGGGTATTTATCCAAAGAAACCAAAATCACTAACTCAGAAAGATACATGCACCTTAATGTGCACTGCAGCATTATTTACAATAACCAAGACATAGAAACAACCTAAGTGTCCATCAATGGATAAGTAGATAAAGAAACTGTGGTATATATATAGTTGACCCTTAAACAACACAGGTTTGAACTGATCAGGCCCACTTATATGCAGATTTTTTTCAATAAATACAGTACAGAACTGTAAATGTATTTTCTCTTCCTTATGATTTTCTTCATAACATTTTCTTTTCTGTAACTCACTTTAGTGTAAGAATACAGTGTGTAATAATTTAACATACAAAATATGTGTTAATTGACTATTTATGTTATCAGTAAGGCTTCCAGTCAACAGTAGGCTATTAGTGGTTAAATTTTTAAGAAATTAAAAGTTATACATGAATTTTGAACTGCATCGGGGGGTGGGGGCAGTGCCCCTAACCCCCACATTGTTCAATGGTCAACTATCCATAGTAGAATATTATTCAGCCATACAAAATAACGAAATCTTCCCACTGCAACACAGATGGACCTTGAAGTCATTAAGCTAAGCAAAGTAAGTCAAAGAAAGACAAATACCATATAATCTCACTCAAATGTAGAATCTAAAAGAACAACAATAACAAAAGAAAACAAAAAACTGATCTTGTAGATACAGAGAAAACATGGTTGGTTTTCTCTGGTGGTTGCCAGAGGCAGGAGTGTGGTGTGGAGGGTAGCCAAAATTGGTGAAGGGAGTCAAAAGGTACAGACTTCTGGTAGTAAAATAAATAAATCTCATACAGCATGGTGACTCCAGATTAATAATACTGTTTTGCATATTTGAAGGCTACTAAGAAAGTAAATCTTAAAAGTTCTCATCACAAGAAAAAATTCTGTAACTATGTAAGGTTACAGATGTTAACCAGACTTATTGTGGTGATCATTTTGCAATATATACAAATACTGGATAATTATATTGTACACCTGAGACTAATATAATGTTGTATGTCAGTTATATTAAAAAATATCTCTTTTTGGTGTGCAAAGCAGCTCCAGACTCTGCCTCTCACTCCATATTGGTGATGGTTTTCTAAACATTTCTAATTCTTTTGTCTGTCCTATATTGACCCTGAAACAGTCAAAGGCAGAACTTTTGGTCAATTGGCTTCCCAGTTGTTGAGTCAGCTGCTGGCTAAAATTTGGAATGCCAAATTTGTCTCAGCCAGGATTTAAAATAGGAAGTTACAGGTTTAATGCCTTTATGTGCCTGGACTTCAATATTTACAAAAACAAACAAACAAACAAACAAACAAACAAACAAGTGCATAGGACTTTGGTCACATTGCTGTTATTGATAAAGCATTCACAGATTTCTTCAATAGATTCTAATATATTTTTCATTTTATTTAGGTTGTTATGCTTGTTTAGGTTGAAAGAAAGTTTAAAAAGCATTAAAAACGACAACAACAACTTCATAAGACTTACACGATGCTGGGTTATGTGAATGGTATATGTTACTCTGAAAGTCCCCAGGCCTCTTTTATCATAGTCAGTATCAGTTAAAGGGAGGCTCCATCCACATGATTCCCAAGCACACCTCATTCCAAAGCAGATCAATGGTACCTTGCCACTCTCCTAAGCCAGCTGCAGCAGGAGCTCAGCCCAAATTTGGGCAACTGAATTATTTTTCTCAGTGAGGTTTTAGCAACCATTATTACTATCCCAGGAAGTTGTCCTTTCTTGGAGATAAACTGTCATGACAAACTCTGTTTTCTATTTAGCACATATTTCCAAATTCCATTGCTCTGCATGGAAGAGAAGAAGCATATGTTGCTTCTCAACACCACTCACTTCAAACGACTGAGAAACTCAGGGTTGTTTAGGCCACAGGAGCAATGGACATACACCATCCAGAAATCTCCTATTGTCTGACAAAAATGCCACAAGCTTGCATTGATCATGCTATTTTTGTTCACCATTAACCCATTACCGCTGCCAGCAACCCTTTAAAAAAAAATCAGAGCTCTCAAAAAGACTCAACCATCTCCATACCTTTTCTTTCATCTCCCAAAGAACAAAGAAACAATTCTGTGATTTTATCAGGGTTAGTTAACAATATTAATTAAAGGCACTAACTGTATCACATTGTGTTTGGTTGCAGTAGTGCTGTCACAGAGAGGATTTAAAATGTTCCAAAAATGACATCTCAGCCCTTGAGAAAAAACCCCACACAAAACCACAGCCAGGATTGGTTCTAGTGGTTGACATTTGGATCTATGTTCGAGACAAGGAAGCCAGAAAGAAAATAGGCCAAGAATCAGCAATCCTTTTAATCCAATGTCCTTTCAAAGTAATGGGGAGCAAAATATGCCACCCTACAAAGTGCCTCTTTAGCACAGGATTACTTTGAACTGAAGGCAACTAAGAAGAAACACTTCTCTGCTGCCCCCTCCCCATTGTCCTAAAAGCAGGATACAGATTTGTAAAGGGGTCCACTCTTCCCTCTACCAGGAAGGACAGACATTACTGAAGATAATTCTGGACACTTTTCAGCCCCGAGGGGGCACCAGAGGAATCTAGATAATAAACTCCATTAACTAGAACTTATCTGCCATTAGTTTCCCCATATATTAACCTTACCACAATTTGCCACCCTAGAAATTCAAAGTCTTTTTCCTTAGTCTTGTCCCTTCACTAAAAATGTATAGCATATTGTTCTTTTCTTAAGCGCTAAATGCCCAAGTTCTAACCACCCCTTTGAGATATTCATTACTGAGTACTCCCATGTGTACATAAGACACACTTGGTAATAAACCCGTTTGTATTTTTACCTGTTAATCTGTCTTCTGTCAGTCTAATTTGCAAGGCACCAACCAATGCACCTAAGATGGGTAGAGGGAAAGAGAGTTACAGTAAAACCTTGGATTGCAAGTAATTTGTTCTGTGAGTATTCTGCAAGATAAGCAAACATTTCTTTTTTTTTTTTTTTTTTTTTAATGTTTACTTTTGTTTTTGAGACAGAGAGAGACAGAGCATGAGCAGGGGAGAGGCAGAGAGAGAGGGAGACACAGAATCTGAAGCAGGCTCCAGGCTCTGAGCTCTCAGCACAGAACCCCGCTCAGGGCTCGAACTCGTCAACTGCACGATCATGATCTGAGCCGAAGTAGGACGCTCAACCAACTGAGTCACTCAGGTGCCCTGATGAGCAAACATTTCTAATAAATTTTAACTTGATAAAGGAGCGACATCTTGCAATACGAGGAGTACCTGATGCCAAATGTCACATGATCACAACTGAGCCAATGGCTCTTAAAATTCGCTTTGATATACAAGTGCTTTGGATTTACAAGCATGTTTCCAGAACAAATTATGCTTGCCAACCAAGGTTTTATTCCCTTGGTTGTTTTCCTCCCCTACAAGAGCATACTAGAGGACAGAATGGGGCTGATAAACTGCCTTTTTCTATCTTCTCTAAAGAGATTACCCATCTCTGAGATTATTGGTCTAGTGTCTTCTATGATCATAAAACCTCCCAGTAATTGTGGGTAAGGGATAAATGAAGATAGGAAAAGCCATGATTTTCTTTCCATTTCTAATTTTGGGAACTTCTGAAATTAAAGGAAAATTTTCTCTTTTTTAAAAGAAGCAGAGGCCAGTAGGCACAGTACATCTGATGATGTTTTAAAGGTAACGTTTTGGAGTTCATCCCCACGGATGGGCTAGGCAACAGCAGAGAAATCTATGGAACTTCGATTAGCCATCACAGTTTTTCATTTTATTTTTTGATTAACTTTTCTCATGCATAGCTGAAAAACACTAAACAGAATGAAAGGCAAGTTTTGTAATTAGACTAGATTGCCCAGGGCGAGAGAAAAAGAGACACAAGCAAATCCTGTAATTCAGCTCCTAAGTAACATCCTCCACATGATAGAGTTCCTTCATACATTTTTTAATCAGGTTTTAAAGTTTTTCATGTATACACTGAAATTAGTGTTTCTTTTGGGAAAATGTATTTGTTTGCATCAAGGCTTTCATTTTCTCTTAAATACAACTTTGCCCCCATACTTTATAACATATAGTACATAAAGGTATGTGGAGGCAGAAAGGAAAGGAAAAATATCATGAGAGACAAATACATGATGAAGCTTACATAAGTGACTATAGCTCTTTCAAAAACATTATTCACTTGGAGATAAAATTGGGATGTGGACCAAATCATACCCTCTGGGATAGCAAATAAAAAACTAAGTGTAGTATCCTTATTATGTGGAAAACTGCAGAACTCCTCATATAGAAAAATATCTGATTTAAGATAAAATACACTTTCATTCGACAAAATCTTCCATGTTATCTTTATGGCCAAAACAGAAAACTGCGGATGATGTGATAGAATAGTTGAAGGAGTGTACCCAAAACAGTATTGATGGTTCAATGTCATCCTGCAGCAAGGTTTCTCTTTGCCTTGGGACCAAGAGCATTTTTCATCAATAAGTTATATAAAAGAATAAGCCCAGCATATTAGTAACAAGTATACAAACTGAAGGGATTAGTGAAGATGGTAAAATAAGTATGTTAAGATTCCAGAAGGACTCAAGAAGTATAGGCCAGAACTAACAAGATATCGTTAGTAAGGATAATTCAGGAAGGTATAGTTCTACACTGGGATCAAAAACTTGGGTGCAAATTTAGAAAATGATGGAGAACTAGGAGCTAGGGTCTGTATTAGAAAAAGTCCTAGGGGCACCTGTGTGGCTTAGTTGGTTAAGCATCTGACTTTGGCTCAGGTCATGATCTCTTCATTCCTGAGTTCAAGCCCCAAGTTGAGCTCTGTGCTGACAGGTCAGAGCCTAGAGCCTGCTTCGGATTCTCTCTCTCTCTCTCTCTCTCTCTCTCTCTCTGCCCCTTGCCCCCCCCAAAAATAAATAAACATTAAAAAATATTTTTTTTGAAGAAAAAGTCCTGAATATGGAATTAGAGAACACCAGTGATTTAAATCAATTTAACTTGCTTATTTCCATCTATTTTCTCATGTAAAAACTGGGTATAACAGTATCTACCTCTCGGGACTGTTAGGCCATTTAAATGAGATGACATGTGAGACCAAATCTTATAGCAGTCTATGTGGACTGAGGTCTTATGAGCCCCCACACAATGTCAGGATCAGTTCAAGCAGTATCATGCCTCTACCATGGTTAGCACTAGTCAAACCAGAGAATAACACTGTGATGAGGTATAGGGGCCTTGATTTTAGAGGAAGGGAAGAGAGTTAGAAAGTGTTTATTGGACAACCATTTGTGAGTCAAATAGCAGGTTCTGGAGATATTCATTAGAAGCCATGGTCACTATCCTTAAGGAGCTCTTACTCTAGAAACAAAGGATGAGAACGTCCCTCTAGAAGTTGGCCAGTGTCTTACCAGCTCTGTAAGCAAAATCAATGAGAAACGGTTGTCCAAGTCACCTACTCCATCTAACCCAGTGTTTGTATCTACACAATAAACATTTTTTGAAAAATGAGTGATATAAGTTTTGCTTGGAAAGAAGATAAAGGGAGAACAAGAAAACTCTCTTTAATATTTTGCAATTCTAATTTCAGAGGGAAGAGATCTATATTTGTAGCTCTAGAGAGCAGAACTGAGGCAAAAGGGTGAGAGGACAGGAGGCAGATCTGAGTTTTCTACAGAAAAACTTTACACTAATGAGAGCTGCTGAAACAGAGAGGACTCGCCTAAGAACTGGTAAGTGCCCCATCACCGAAAGTGTCCAATAAGGGGCTACCCAGGATGGTCAGGATGTGCTAAGGAAACTCCTACACGGAGCGGTTGGAAGCCGAACTATATGGGAAAAAAATTACTTTCCATTTTAGAGGTGCTCGTGGAAGAATTACAAGGCTGTAGTTCTAAAATCCAGTGCCTGTGTGCAAAGCCTGTCACACTAAGGGCTGGGAAATTAAACTGGGCAATAGCATTTGGTTCAAACAGAAAAACCAAGAGGGAAGATGACAACTTAAAAATTATCTCAATTTATAATGAGGACTCCACTACCTGTGTGGCATCTGGTATTGGTATGTATAGATGTACAGTCAGTCTTCAAGCTCCATGGCAGAAAGTTTTCCTGGAGTCCTTGGCTCTGACATGGGAGTCTGAATTAGAACAGCTATTCCATAACTGGTCAAGTGCATAAAGGAATTTCTCTCAGCGTGCTTGCAGAGGAGAGTCATTGCTTCAGATGTAATAGTTTATGTAACAATTCCCAGATGCAGACTCATGTCCCCCAAGACAGTCACTTCCCTATGCCTACCTAGAATAAAATGAAGCAAGTGGAGTTAACCCCAGACCGGAATGAAAGGTGCACCCATGTCCTCATTAGGGGCTACCCTCTAAGCCCTAATACCTGAACACCTCATGCTGAATCACCCTCAAGAAAAATACTAATGATAGCACTGCTGGTACTCAGTCATGGCAGACACCATGAAGATGCTCATGAACGTCCTCTATTTGATAAACATTGTTCTATAACAGCACGAATACTTATTATTGTAAGATCAGTTATCATATTTTATCTGAGCCTGAGAATCCTAAAGCTTGGCCTTCTTTGTGTGTCTCTATTCAAAGAGCACAAGCTATGGTGTCTTTTTGTGAGATATTTGCCTTCATAACTAAGACATACTGTCTGAGACCTTAAAGTAAGATTTGGATAGCAGACCGAAATTACCCCTTCAGGATATTTGTGTACTTGTACTCCTCTAAAAGTTATATGTCTTTGCTTTAAAAAAAAAAAAAACAAATCCGGGGCACCTGGGTGGCTCAGTAGGTTAAGTGTCTGACTCTTGATTTCTGCTCAGGTCATGATCTCGCATTTGTGGGATCAAGCCCTGTGCCAGGCTCTGCGCTGAGTGTAGAGCCTGCTTAAGATTCTCTCTCTCTCTCTCTCTCTTTCTCTCTCTCTCTCTCTCTCTCTCTCTTTCTCTCAAAGAAAAAAATCTACTTAAGATACAAGAAGAAAAGAAAGAAAGAGAGACAGAGAGGAGGAAGGAAGGAAGGAAGGAAGGAAGGAAGGAAGGAAGGAAGGAAGGAAGGAAAGGAGGGAGGGAAGGAAAGGGGGAGGGAGACAGGCAGGCTGGATCTTTTTCTTTCCAGGCCTCTTAATTGAGATCCAGGGTTTGTGAATCTCTGGCAATACAGGACCCTTTGCCTGGTACCCTGCTCTTTTATGTTCGATACCACATCAGGGACACTGATTATACTTAAAAGCTAATATATTTATTTATGGTTCTTAATGGCTCTTTCCATTGCTGCTTTACCTCTGGTCCTACTAATTAGAATCAAGGTAAAAAAAAAAAAAAAAAAACAATCCCAAATTTTCTAGCCAGAGTTGCATGTAGAAGCAAAACCAAAGGCTTAACACAAAAGGGAAGAAAAACCGTGAAAAGTCCATTTCCAAAATTAACAAATAGAGAAAGCCTGAAAACCACACACCCCAGGGCTCCATTTTGTCTTCAAGAAAAATCAGGATCTAACTTTTCACTCAGAAGTTTCCATCTCAGGCCACTTCAGCAGCACAACATTTCAATTCTATTATTTAAGAAATGGTTTGAAATATTCCCCAATTCCGCTTAACACATCCCAGAGCACATTTCCACGGTGTGTAAGTGCACTGCCAAACAGCCAGCTCGCTGCGAACACAGGTGGGAGAGCTCGGCCAGCAGGAGAGGTTACATTTGTTTGGCAACTTCCTTCGGGCTGTGAGAGCTGAGACCACGAGAAGCTAAATTGAGAAGTGCTTCTTGACGTCTGTTGTAAACTAAGCTGAAGAGCAAAGGGCACAGCCCGAGGCCTGGAACAAAGGACAGAGCAGGAGCGGTGATGAGCCACCTGAATGATCCTGTTCCTCAGCAGGGTCACAAACCAAAGTGCTTTCCGAGGCCCATGGCTGCCATTTGGAACCTCTGGCCCTTCTGCATGAACACCAGACCCCAGACCAGCAAGTCAGAGACAGTACTTCAATCCACCTCTCCAGCCTATATTTAATTTTTTCAGCAAACACGGTAAAAAATAAATGAGGTTGTACTTAAGCTGTCAAAGGCCTCACCACCTTACCTCACCAGAGGACTTCTGACTAGTTGGTTCTACCTTTAGTGCTACCTCCATTGGCCACCAGTTGTTATGTTAAACTCAGCCTCAAAAACGCTTAGGCTGTAATCCACAATCCGGTTTTCATTTAACGTCTAAACGTTAAGACAAATAGAAACCTCATCAGTAAACAGTGTGACAGTTATCTTTTTAACTGTCATTTCTGTAAGCTGATACACATCCCCTCCTAAATCAAGCTCAGATGTATCAGTTGTTCAAATACAAACATATTTAGCAGATTTCTGTCATTTCCTCATATGTATATTAATTTGCGAATGACTCGCTTCATACATCTTGACAAACCTGAAAAACTATCTGTTGAGTTATTCACAGATGCCGGTGCTGATGCTGGCAGGGCGGAAAGCTGACAATGTATGCAGGGTCAGCGATGGGGGGGAGGGGGGGGCGGGAAGTAGCTGAATGTCATGGCCCTGGGATCATTTTAATCTGTCTTGGGGTGCAAGAAGTGTCACAGAGGTTCGCCTGAAATAAAAGTGTCCCTTTCCCTTAGCTTGTTTTGTACCACCTAATCCTCTAACTCTTTATTAAACATTATCTTTTCCATCTGCTCTAGTGAGTGTTCAGCACGTTGTGGACCAACTCCAGGCTGATTGGTTTTTATGGGCAACATGATCTCAGTTTTATGCACATACTTAGGATTATCTCAAGGACAAAGAGGATGAACAATCCATTAACTCTAATAAGCAACTACACATCTCAAGATAGTTACAGCATATATTTGATTTCAAAAGAAAAGGCTGGATTAAAACATGTCCAAAAACATCTAACCTCCAACATATAGAAATAGAATTTTCTGTTCTCCATGCTCTGGCGAGCGCTCCTACTAGAAATCACGTCTCAGTCCCACTCAATCAGACTTTCCAGCCCTTAAATCTTATTTTAAGATCTGACACTACAGCAAGAAAAAGATCCTCTTGAAAGCCCTCCTCGTGATGATCTGTGGGCAAAGCGTGCAGAAAGTACACGTGCACGCTCACACACACACGCGCGCGTGCACTTTTTTAAAGGAAAATGCATTGTTATTGCTTTATGTAGAAAACTTATTTCTTCAGTAACTTTATAATTACATGGTTTCCATGGTTTAAAATTATAAAACCTCAGTCATGAAAATTTAGTCAAATACACACAGTCACCTGAGAAAGCCAATTTATATTCTTAGCCAGTGTTACTGACAAGTATTGGAAAACCATTGCTAGTGTTTATTTCAAAATTTAGTCCAATGCAAAGTAATCTACTAGGGCCTCATTTGCCCACATTATTGTTAAAAGTTTCTGCTTACTTGATTTTCATAAGAATTCCTTTTAAATACTCATCTCTCTTTGCACCACTGTTTTATTGATGAGCTCAGTCTGTTTCTTTGGCTGACCTTTCAAACAAAGATGCTTGCTTTTTCTGTTACTTTAAATCTTTATGATCCTGTAATAATAACAATTATGATGGCATCTGATCACACTGTATATATTAATGACAAGACATATCTGGCCACTTGTCTTCACAGCTTACTGATCTCATTGATGAGAGCTGTCAGGCTGCCTCCTTGCAACTTGTAATTCAAGGTAATTAAAAATTAGCTTTTTTAGCAGCTTGAACTTTGTTTTGCAGTGAATTGGAAATATCGCATGCTGCAGAAATAGAGAATGTACTAGTCACCTGCTCGGCCTTATGCCAAGAGAAGGTGTGAAAAACAGGTACAGGAGTTAATCACCTATCCAGAGTGAGGACTTTCAAGCCCTTGTATGTGTGTCTTTATTCATTGTTTTGCTCAAGGGAAGAATGCTAAAGTGCAGAGCCGAGTATCATCTTCTGATTGCAGTTTAGGACCTTATTTAACAGGTCAAAGCCAAGGTAAAGCCAAGGTGAAGAACGAGGCAGGCATGCATAAATGGGCCCAGGCTGTCCAGAAGAATGCACCAGCCAGCAGTGCTGGCCTCTGGGGATGGAAGAAGAGGGCTGGGGTGGCAGGAAGAATTACTTTTCACTGGGTTCTATTTTGTTCCATTTGAACATTTTACCTGATGTTCGTATTACTTTAAAAACAAACAAATGTAGTGATAGCTAAATAGCGTTTGCCCTCCCAGCACCGTGACAAGCAATCCCAAAGGTCAGCACCAGCAAAATGGCGCAGGAGCCAAGGCTGCCACCGGGAGGCCCAGCTCCTCACTTGTTTTCCTCTTGACCGCAGCCAGTGTCCTTAGACTCTCACCCTGTTAAAGCAAGTGCCCAAGAAACTACCTGACTACTGAATACAAATGAAGGATGACAGTCATGCTTTCATACATACACATTCAAAAGCAATGTCCAACTGAAAGGAACGACACAAATCTTCATCGTCAAGACCGTTGGAAACCAATTTTCCTAGATTACACAATTGGTTGGGGAGGATGCCTGTGTGTGTTCCAGTTTGGAGGGAAGAGGAATATCTGTGCAGGGAAGAGGAGGGCTGTGATCATGAGCAGAAGATGGAGTCCTGGACTGGAGGACACCCCACCAGGGGCATAGGCGGGCCTGACCATGCACACCTCTGCACAGGATGCTGGGTAAACCGGGTCCTTACTCCCAGCCCCTCCCAATGGGGCTGGTGTCTGCGCGAGCCCTGAGCACAATGATACGCATAAAACACTGTCACTGCATCCCTTCAATGTGGTAGAGCAATTGCACCTGGCAGAACCCTGGGCTAGTGAAAGTATTTCTGCAGGGTTCTTAGACAGCTCTCCATGAGGCTGCTCTAACCTTCCTTAGCTGCTTGACTTTCCTCCCTTCTGCCTTTCAATGCCCTCTTGTGATACTGCTTGAAACCCAAATTTTCTTTTTCTAGACACATATGCATGCATTAGAACACAGTAAGACAAAAACTTACCTACTTGAGAATTAAATTTTTCACCTCTAGGCAAGTTAGTAAGGCCCAACTCATTCATCTTCTCCTATTTGCTGTTTTCGGCAATATAATTACATGGCACTGACCAGTGAAAATGCTGGTAAAAGGCTTGTGTTATGACTCTGTGCCTGCCCTGCATGCCCATGTTATTCTGCATAGAAGTTAGCATGGGAACACCAGCTCCTGTTACTGAATAATCCATGTGAGGTCTACTTGACGACATCTGCTTTTGTGTCTATATGAGAAATTATTACATTAACATTATGCAGCATTGACCTTTTTTTTTCAAAATGGAAACACCTTCTTTGCCTTTGCTTCTTAAAGTAATAAATGCCTGCTTTCCAGAAACCTAACACCAGAGAAATACAAAGTTGTAAATAAGAGGCCTCTTCATAATTTTCTCTGACTGGGATATCCACTGTGACCAGTCTGGTATATATTTTTAGAGATATCTGTTATGCACAATCACTAATGAGTGTATATTGTACATCCTCTGCCAGAACTCTGTTCCAAGAGACAAAATCTAATGCATGCTATCTTAAGCACACAAAAAAGTCTCACATCACTTAAAGAATCCTGGTAGTTTCAGGCATAGCTTGATCCAGGGACTCAAATGATATTACCAGGACTTGGTTTCTATTTGTCTCTCACCTTTGCCATTCTTCATGTTGGTAGTGTTCTTGGGGTCCATATCATGTCCACAAACAGCTCCAGGCTTACCTGTCCTCAGATTAAATTCTAGCAACAAAAGGTGGAAAATCCATTCTTACTATTTCTTACACAAGTCTTATGATCTGTATGGATCACCATAGCTCAAACGATCACCTCAAACCAATCAATATACCCAGGAAAATGAAATGCTCTAATTGACCAAGATTGAGTATCACACAAACCCCTGGAGCCAATTGTGAAGTCAACTCCTTCCTGTTCACATGGACAGAAAGTGGATGCCTCCAGAAAATCATGGGCTGTTGACAGAAAAGTAAATAAGTGCTAATAAACAAAAGCAACAAACACCCCCAATACATTCGCTTCTTTCACCAAAGGCATCAGAGCAAGCTACAAAATTTGTGGGATTCAGTTCGCCATGAAAATATGGGATCCATATTCAAAAAATCCTAAAAAGAAAAAAGTGGCATTAATGGTACTAAAATATAACACTATTTTTGCTCTTCTACCTTCTTCCTGTCAACTGATCATGGTGTTTGTTTTTTACTATATGATGTTGTTTTAAGTAAAGAAAAATTAAAAATTCAATTTATTAGCATGGATATAACTATTCATATTTATATTTTCTGTATCAGTTTTGAATGCAGATATAAAGCTCTTAACTCCTGTATGGATTACCAAAATTGTACAACTGGAATTTTGCAGCTCCTACCTACACACAGATTTCATTCTTAGGCAGAACAGTGGAAACAAACTCAATTGCTTTAATTTCACCTCTTGATAGGTGCACCTTCTACAACACTGTCTACCTGCAGCTTACGGATGAGTTAGGAAAGACTTAAAGGAAATGTAATTACGTGTTTCTCTCTTCTCCCTGTACTTCTATGCCATCATTTTTGGCACAAGTGGTTGGCAAATACACAGACGTAAGACAAGCATGAAAGGATATGGTAGGGTTTCTCAGTCATTCACAGTTCTCAGAACACCATTACTTCTTTCTGCATTCAAAGCAAGTTTTGGTTTGCATGGAACACATGGCCTCTTGGAGCCATCAAGGCCCCCATCTGCTCACCTGGAGATGGAAATCCCTTACCTTATACTCACTTGAATCTCCTTAAACCCCCACACATGATGAATTAACTAGAATTCTATGCTCAGGGGCATTGAGAATGCTATGTGTAAATGGTAAAGGGTGGGAAGTGGTAAATGGGAAGTGGGAAAGGATGCCAGGCACACTTACTGCATTTGTCTTTTCTGCTCATGCACATGCTCCATTCTCTTATCAAATCTCACTTATAAAACACAAATTCAAAAATAAAATTCTTGGGGTGCCTGGATGGCTCAGTCAGTTGAGCATCTGACTTCGACTCGGGTCATGACCTCACAGTTCTTGAGTTTGAGCCCCACATCGGGCTGTCTGCTGTCAGCGTGGAGCCTGCTTCGGATCCTCTGCCTCCCACTTTCTCTATCCCAACCCACTTGCTCTGTCTCTCTCTCTCTCTCTCTCTC